GAAACGAAACCTGAATCGAAGCTGCCAGGCCCCGCCGGCCCGGGAGGAGCGGGGGGCGGGGAGCGCCGCCCCGCCCGGCCCCCGGGGAGGCAGCAGGCGCCCGGCAGGCTCCGAGCGGCCGGGGCAGCCCGCGGGCGGGCGCTGGGCGGGGCCCGGGCGGAGGGAGGGCGGGGCCCGGCCTGCCGGCCACGCCCCCGGCCTGCTGCCCCTCCCCCCGCGGGCTGCGGGCGTGGACTCTGCCCCCAGGCACTCGGTCCCGCGGCAGGGCCAGCCTTTCCACCTCTGTGTCCGGTTCTATCGCCGGTGCGACGCTGGGGAAGGAGTCTGGCCTCTCGGAGCTCCAGTTTGTTCCTCTGGAGAGTGCCCGCCTCCCTGTGGTCCTAGCTCGCCCAGGAGTCCCCTTCACTTGGTTCTTCTGGATGGGGGGGAGGGCCAAAGACAGCTGGGAAGAGGAGCAGAAAGGCGAGTCCAGTCACTCCCCGCTCTGCTGAACGCCCTCCCGCGGCGTGCAGGACACTCCAGGCACAGTCACTGGCCTCGCGGCAGCACCGCCCCAGGCCGGTACACCATCTGCCGGCGGCCTGGCGACCTATTTCCCCACCTTGCCTGCGTTTCCCATCCCTCGCTCACCTGCTGCAGCCATCGGCAGAACGCTGAGGCCCTTGACCCCAGGGCCTTTGCACTGGCTGTTTCCCTGGCTGGATTGTTCCATCAGGCTCTCCTCACCTCCTCCAGGTCTGCATCCAAACCTCACCCTGTCCAGGAGACTGGCCCTGCAGTCTAAGCAGTGACACCCCTCACTTTCCTGCTTGCTTTGTTTGCCCGGCATCTATCACCACCTGTACCTGCAGAGGGTGCATTTTTACCTACTTTTTGTTGTTTGTTTCAGTCTTCCTCAATATCATACTTTGTGAGAAAAGAAATTGTTTATTTTGTGCATGTGCCTACTGGGAGAGTATCAGCCCCATAACCAAGAGTAAATTGGAGTCATTATTGCAACTTTTTTTTTGTAAGGCAGAGTTACAGAAAAGAGGGAGAGGGAGAGAGAGAGGGATCGATCTTCCATCCACTGATTCACTCCCCAAATGACCACCTCAACCAGGGCTGACCCAAGCTGAAGCCAGGAGCCAGGAGCCAGGAGATTCTCTTGGGTCTCCCAGGCAGGTGCAGAGGCCCAAGCACTTGGACCATCCTTTGATGCCTTCCCAGGTGCATTAGCAGAGGGCTGGATCAGAAGTGGAGCAGCCAGGACTTGAACTAGCGTCCATATGGGAGGCCGGCACTGCAAGTGGTGGCTTAACCTGCTGTGCCACAGCGCCAGCCCCACCAGTAATGTTTGAGTGCCCACCTATGCCCAGCATAGATCTAGGCCCTGGGAGGGACACAGCTAGGCAAAGACTGACACAGCCTCTCCCCAGAGTTCAGTAGAGGAGAGGGCTAACCATCAGGGGTAGCAGATGGCTCAGAACTGCGTATGCTGTGTTGGGGTGGCGGAACACCTGGCCATCTTGTGCTAGAGAGGGCAGGGAAGACGCTCAGAGCAGGTGTTTGGATTAGTGCAGAGGCCCTAGGGTGGGGGTGGTCTTGGGGTCAAAGGAGACCCACACGACTGGAGTTGAGTAAAAGAGAGTAGAAGATGAAACCGGGCAAGGTGTTAGGAGTGAGTGGAAGTCAGCCCTTACAGGCCTTGGTGGGGTTGGGGTTTTATTCTGAGTGTGTCAAGAAGTGACCATGAAGGTTGTTTGTTTTGTTTTGTAAAAGAGTTACTTGATATAAGAGAGGTCTTCCATCCACTGGTTCACTCCCCAAATGGCCGCAGCAGCCAGGGCAGGGCCAGGCAGGAGCCAGGAGCTCCATCCGGGTCTCCCCCATAGGTCGCGGGGACCCAAGCACTCGGGCGTCTTCCACAGCTTTCCCAGTCGCATTAGCAGGGAGCTGGGTCGGAAGCAGAGCAGAGCAGCCGGGGCTCCAACCTGCTCTCTGACAAGGGACGGCTGCCCCGAGGGTGGTGATCAACCCAGGACCCCACACCTGCGCCTGGAGGTTTTGGGGAAGAGGAAGCTGTGATTCAGTTGGCACCTGGTGTGCTTTCTTGAAACCTCTGTGGCCATCTCCTTCCCCTCTCTGGATTGGCACCTACCTGTGTGGGTCACCGGTCCACTTTCTGACTTCAAATACAATTCTGCCTCAGGGCGAGAAATCTGGCTTTGAGCTGGAAACCAACAAATATCCCGTCCCTTCTCTGCCTGTGGACTCTCCCCACATGTGAGTCCTCCTTGCCTCCCTTCCAGAAAACTCCGAGGCCAGGGAAGCTCACCTGCTCTGTCCGCATTGCCTCTCCCTGCCTCCCTTCTCTGCCCCTCACTCACCAGCCTGGGCTGGCACCGCCCAAACAAAGCATTAGCCTCGACACTCTAGCCCACTCCCCTAAAAAGATCTGCTTTTTATAAAGAAAGATATTGACTTATCTGAGAGGCATAGTGACAGAGAGAGAGAAACATTTCTAACCCCCAGTTCACGCCCCAAATGGCCACAACAACCGGGATTGGGCCAGGCTGTAGCCAGAGACTCCATCTGGGTCACCCAAGTATTTGGCAGGGACCCAAATACTTGGTCCATCAGCCTCTGCTTCCTGGGGGCCTTTGCAGGAAGCTGGGTCAGAAACCAGGATTGAAAACGCCACTCTGGCTGGCGCCGCGGCTCACTAGGCTAATCCTCCACCTTGCGGCGCCGGCACACCGGGTTCTAGTCCCGGTCGGGGCGCCGGATTCTGTCCTGGTTGCCCCTCTTCCAGGCCAGCTCTCTGCTGTGGCCCGGGAGTGCAGTGGAGGATGGCCCAGGTGCTTGGGCCCTGCACCCCATGGGAGACCAGGAGAGGCACCTGGCTCCTGCCATCGGATCAGCGCGGTGCGCCGGCCGCGGAGGCCATTGGAGGGTGAACCAACGGCAAAGACCTTTCTCTCTGTCTCTCTCTCTCTCACTGTCCATTCTGCCTGTAAAAAAAAACCCACGCCACTCTGATGGAAGATGCGGGGTTCCAGCCAGGGGCATAACCCACCGTGCCACACCACCTGCCCCAAGGACCGCACAGCAGGTACCGGAGAGCCGTACCTGGGACACAGGCTCCATATGTCTCGGGTTCTCTCCCACGGGGCTGGGACATCCCAGTCTCCAGAGAGCACAGACACAGTGTGAAGACCAAGGCTCTGGAGCTGCTATTCCCTCTCCTTGCTTTTCCCGGCTGTGTGACGCTGGATGAGTGACTCAGCCTCTCTGATTCCAGGCTCCTGGGTATAATGTGTGACACTGAATGCCCACTTCTATGTAACTGGGGAATAAAGGACTTAATTCAAATAATGTGGTTACAACAGTGCTTTCAACAGGGGACTTCAAAAGTTTAAGAAAAACTGGGATTTAACACAGAAACACAGGGCCGGTGTCGTGGCACAGCAGGCTAAGCAGCCACCTGCAATACCAGCATGCCATGTGGGCGCTGGTTCATGGCTCGGCTGCTCCACTTCTGACCCGGCTCCCTGCTAATGGCCTGGGAAACGCAGAGGAAGATGACCCGTGTTTGAGTCCCTGCCACCCACATGGGAGACCCGGATGAAACTCTTGACTCCTGGCTTCTGCTTGACTCAGCCCTGGCTGTTGTGGCCATCCCGGGAGTGCAGCTTTGGATGGAAGACCTCTCTCTCTCTCCCTAGCTCTGCCTTTCAAATACATAATTTTTTTTTTTAAGGTTTTTGCAGGAGTGGATGTTTGGGCTAGCCCTTAACATGCCCGCATCCCATGCTGGAGTGCCTGGGTTCAAGTCTGGGCTCCGGCTCCTGATCTCCGCTTCCAGCTGAGGTAGACACCTGGGAGGCAGCAGGTGGTAACTTCAGTAGCTGAGTTCCTTTTATCCACACGGGAGACCAGCACTGAGTCCCTGGCTCCCCACTCCCTTTTTAAGATTTATTTATTTATTTGAAAGGCAGAGTTACACAGAGGAGAGGGAGAGGGCAAGAGAGGGAGGGTCTTCCATCCACTGGCTCACTCCCCAGATGGCCAGAATAGTCAGAACTGCGCTGATTAAAAGCCAGGAGCCTGGAGCTTCTTCTGGGTCTCCCACGTGGGTGCAGGGGCCCAAGGATCTAGGTCATCTTCTACTGCTTTCCCAGGCCGTAGCAGAGAGCTGGATCGGAAGCAGAGCAGCCAGGCCCATGTGGGCACTGCAGGTGGCTATGCCACCGCCCCAGCCCCTCTGGCTCCTTTCCTTGCCAATTGTAAGTGGCTCACTATCCTGGGCACCTGGGGAGTGAGCTGGGGGTGGCGGCGCTCTGAAACAGTATACATATATTTTCAGAAAATTATTTGGGACCGGCACTGTGGAAGTGGGTAAAACTGCTGCCTGCAGTGCTGGCATCCCATATAAGCGCTGGTTCGAGTCTCAGCTGCTTCACTTCCAATCCAAGATCTCTGCTGTGTCCTGGGAAGACAGTAGATGGCCCAAGTTCTGTGTGGGAAACCCGGAAGAAGCTCCTGGCTTTGGATCAGTGCAGCTCTAGCCATGCAACCATCAGAGGAGTGAAGCAGCAGATCAGACTGCATAAAGATGTCTTCCATCCGCTGGGTCACTCCCCAGATGGCTGCAATGGCTGGAGCTGCGCCGATCCGAAGCGAGGAGCTTCTTCCAGTTCTCCCACGTGGGTGCAGGCCATCTTCTACTGCTTTCCCAGACCATTAGCAGGGAGTCAGATCAGAAGTTGAACAGTAGCGTCTTGAACTGGCGCCCATATGGGATGCTGGCACCCGAGACAGAAGCTTAACCTACTACAGCACAGCGCCGCCCCCAGTGTACTAGTTTTTAAAAGGCGTGCATTTCCCATCAGCTCTATGAAGACCCTCTCCTCCAGTGACATTGCTGTCCCAGCTCTGGTACGGGTCGGATGCAGATGTCTAGGGCATGTACAGGTCCCTTTCGCTGTCCCAGTAACATTCAGAAAGAAAACAATCCCTTTCCTTCCAAAATACTTTTATTTTTAAAAAATTACAATAAAAAAAGCCACCACAAACCCTGCCTTTCTTTTAAATAATGCGGCATGGAGCAGTTTGGTTTCCACTCTATTGCACGTGGTCCGGCCTGGTTATGAATCAGAGGCTGCCGGGACTGGGGTCCTGCCAAGGAAGAGGGGTTCAGCCCAGGGGGAGAAGACCAGCTCCTCCCCCTCCCTCGAGGTGCCAGAGGCAGAGACTGGGTTTCCATGGCAACCTGGCAGCACATCCCTGCCCCCTCTGATGGGCCCAGCTTCATCTGCCCTGAGGGCGCCAGGGGTCACAAGAGGAGCAGGAAGTGGAGGGAGAGGCAGAAGAAATGTGTAAGTGGGAAATCGGACTCCCAGAGGCAGTCCTGGTTAAGGCATTTGGAAGAGATAAATTAACTCAGGAAGACGCACCTTCACAGAAGGCTGCGCTAACCAGACACACACACATGCAAGACTGTTTGTGGAACCCTGACATGGGAGGCGAGGGGGCCACAGTCCCTGCTTTGAGCCCCCAGCAAAACACACAGAGTGGCACCCGGGGATCCAGCCCGCCCAGAGGAAGGCCCCCCAGTCAGTGTCTTAGGACCCCAGAATGATCTCCATGATGTGATCCAGTTCATTCCACTCCCAAGAGCCTGGTGCACAGAAGAGGTTGTGAGGGGGCTCCGGCGGGGCCAGTGCTGGCTCCTTCTCCACCGCAGAGGTGTCGATGTCCAGAAAGAAGTCGTCCAGGCTCGCGTCCCCCAGGTACCTGGAGCTCAGAGCCTCTAGGAAGACCGGATCCGGCTGGGGCAGCACTGGATTCTGCAGGCCCGGGGGAGCCGGGGGGCCCTGCGGGGCTTCGGTCTCGTCCATCGAGGTCTCCAGCTCCCTGAGGATGGAGCCAATGGTGGCCGACAGGGAGAAATCCTCCTCGCCCAAGAAGAGGGGCTCGGGGGGCAGGGTGGGCGCGGGGGCCCGGCGGATGGCGGCCTGCAGCTGCTGGAGGGTGTTGTGGATGAGGACATGCCTGCGGAGGCTGGGGGCGCGCGGGCCCAGGCTGCGCTGCACTTTGTCCAGAGAGATGCGGAGCAGGGCCTGCTGGTAGCTCCGAAGGCCCGCTGGATTCCAGGCCCACTGCTCCTCCTCCTCCTCCTCCAGATCGGAGTGTTTCCTCTTCAGGCCCCCCACCATGACGGTGCCCTGGGGAGGGAAGAGGGTCAGGTCAGACGCACCAGGGCCGGTTCCAACCCCGCGTTCTCTGGCAGGCTCACGCAGCTGATGGTGAATGTTTTAATGACCGGAACCTGTTTACTCATCTGTAGAAGCGAGAGAACCTGAACTCCACAGGCTAAGGAGGGGAGGAAAGTGATCAGGATGCCAGCACAGCTGGGCTCGGATCCCCCCCCCGCCCCCGCCTGTTGCCCTCAGTGACCCTGCATCCCCCTCTGTGGAACAAGGTCCTAACTGAAGTCCTTCCGAACCCTAGAAACCGTTCTTCCACAACTCTCACTTCTTCAGGCAAGTCACCCACAGACAGGCGCAGAGACCTGGACTGCAAGTGGGGAATCCAAGTGGGGAATCCCGGGCTGACCTGTGCCCTGGACACTGCTCAGCTGCGTGACGCTGGCCTCAGTCTCCTCGTCTGTAAAACTGCTTCTCACCGCCTCGTCTGGGAGCTCCCACGTGCCCAGGCCCAGCACACACAAAGCGCTCAGGCGCCACTTACTCCGCTGAGTGCGTGTCCCACAGAGCTGCCTGGAGCTCCGTTAGGACCCCTCCGAGCCCTGACTCTTCTCTCGCAGGCAGGGCATTTCTGTCCATGCCCTCTTCCCTAACGAACGGACGCGCTCACGAGAGGGGAACGAATCATCCCCGCTCCCCGCGCTCGGGCCTTCCCCCACTGCGCGCCCCGAGGAAAACTCGCCGCCACGAAACTTAGCCAAGCCCCGCCCCCGGGGACCCCAGCCAACCAGACCGTGGCGCCGCCACAGGCCCCGCCCCTCCCACGGCTTCAGATCGCCGCGCAGGAACGCCCCTTTCTGGCCCGGGGGCTTCTGGGAAGCCCGGGCCAACAGCCGCCAGGTAGCGGCACTACAGTCCCCAGAGGGCTCAGCTCGCCGACAGGAGGACGGCCCCGCCCTCCCCTAGGGCATGCGCAGAGGGGCCCGGCCGGGTGGGGGAAGGGAACCCGGACGTCCAGCTGCCGGGCGCCTGCCGCGCCCCGCCCCTCCGGTGCCTCCACGCCCGGAGCGCCCCTCCCCCACCCGACTCTGCGGGTTCCGCGGATCCCAGTTCTCCCCCCCCCACTGTCCCGGGGTGCAGGGACCCAGGTCAGAGACGACGAGCGCTCTCCGACCCGGCCGGTACGGGAGACGGCGCGCCCTAATTTTGAGGCACACCCCCAACTCCGTCCTCTCACTTTCCAAACTCCGCGTCCCGCTTCAAGCCCCGAAGACCGAGCTCTCTCCTCAGCGCCCTCTGCCCGCCTCTGCGTCTCGGGGTCTCCGAGACCCCCCGGCTCTAGCCGGTCCCCTTGCTTCTCCGACTGCTCGGTGTCCCAGCCCTGGAAGACCTCTCACATCTTCTCCCAGGAAGCCACAGAGCCCCGAATTCAACCCACCCGGGAGTCCAACACTGTCCTAGTCCTCGGATTCCCTGCCCCAAAAGTTCCTCGCCTTGGTTCTCTCGCTTCTCCAAACATCCCGAGTCGCAGCTCAAACTCTCGCCCCTTGAAAATCCTACCTAAAGCATCTCGCCTCCCGTCCAGGGTCCCCCAGCCCCTACCAGTCGCCCTCCATCAGCGCCCTCCTCTACTGCCCAGGCCCCGCCTCCACCGCCCCCAGCCCCGGGTGTGGTTCTGAGCCGGGCGGCCGCCGCTCACCTCGGCTACCAGTTCGCAGCGACCAGCTCCGTTCCGCCCGCCGCGCCGCGCCCCACCAGCGCCGGGTAGGAGTCGCGCTCGCTGCCCCGGGGCCTCTCCGTCTGGCCTCGGGCCCGCCCAGCCCGGCCCCGGAGTCGAGCCGCGAGCTGCGATTGGCTGGAGCCTGCCCGCCGCGGCACGCCGATTGGCTGGGCGGAGCCGCCGCGGGACTCCCGAGCTGCCCCCGCCGCCCGCCCCTCGGGAGCGCCCAGGACCATTTAAAGGATTCCGACTCGGACGGGGCGGGGCCACGTGTGGAGGGAGGGGGGGGCGGGCGCACCGAAACCGCTCCCTGCAGCTCAGCCCCGGCCCTCGCTCCCGGGCCGTTAGCACTGCTCTCTGCCGTCCCTTCCTGTCCAGCTCGGACCGGTCACCCGGCAAGACCGGCTGCTACGCCGCTGTCGGCTCCGCTTTCCGGGCGGGCGGGGCCGAGTCACTCGCGGAGGCCACGCCCCCGAGGCTCCGAGCCCGGGCGCGGCTGGGCGCTGGGGGATGACGCAGCTAAAGGCCAGCCAATAGTTAGGCGCGGCCTGCGTTGCCTGGGTGACCGCGGTCCCGCCCCTCCCGCACACCCGGGGGCCTCTCGGTCCCCAGGACTCAGCGGCACGTCCTCTCGTGGTCTCTCCCTCTCTCAGGGGCTGCTCGCGGCTCCCCGCTGTCCCAGAGGCAGAATCTAAACTCGTCAGCCCCGAAGCGTTCCCGGTCTGTCCTTCGCCCGGGTTCGCTGCTAGTTTCTGTGAAATGGTTTCACTCGGGCTTCGTTTCCGCGTTCGCAGGAATTTTGTCTTCCTTCCCTGCTGCACCCCAGGGGCCTACAACAGCGCCAGGTGCACAGCAAGCCCTCAACATGGAGAGTGAAAGGTCTCCGGCTTTTTTGCCTTTTAAAGATTTATTTATTTGAAAGGCAGAGTTGCGGAGAGTAAAACAGACCTTCCATCTGCTGGTTCACTGCCCAGCTGGTCACAATGGTGAGGGCTGGGGCAGGCCGAAGCCAGGAGCTTTGAACTCCACTTGGGTGTCCCGTGTGGGTGGCAGGGGCCCAAGTGCTGGGCTGTCCCCTGCTGCTTTCCCAGGCGCATTAGCAGGGAGCTGATCAGAGGCGGAGCAGCCAGGACTTGAACTGGCACCCATATGGGATGGGGCACTGCAGGCGGTGGTTTAACTTGCCACGCCACAGCACTGGCCCAGGCCTCGGGCTCTTTAAACTTGTTTCCTCACGCTGAAAATGTGCCCTCGGTTCCCAGGTGCCTCTCACTGGAGGAACTCAGCTCAAAGGTCCCCTCTGGGGAGCCCTCCCCGGCTCCTCTGCCTGTGTCTCCCCCACTGTGGTCCTGGGCTGTCACTGTGTGTGCTGTGGGTCCCCTAACAACAGGCAGCACGGGTATCGTGGTCACCCACTGCTTGGTGTGGACGCTGGGTTGCTCAGCAGGTAGCCAGTGGCAGGGAAATAGGATGGATGTAAAACACTGGTGCTGCCGCACTCCCACAGGTGTTCACTGTGGGAGGAGGGAAGCGGTTTTGTCCAATCCACCTGTGGGCAGGGAGATTGAAACCCCCTCAGACCGGTTCTGGCCAGTTTGAGCTTGTCAGCCAAGCCATCCTGTGGTTTGCAATGGGGGTTACCTGGTGGTGGGGGTATAATAGGAAGGGGAGTAGGGAAAGATTGGCTGACCCAGGCCAGTGAGAGGTGTCCCTGAAGAACAAAGGGACAGTGGATGCCAGAGAGGGACCTGGTTAGGAGGGGGCAACCCTCCCCCTCCCCCACCCCAAACCTGCCCCTCCTCCAGGGCCTCCATCTCAAAACTCCACTGCGAAGCCACACCCAGAGTAGAACCTGGCTTTGCTTCGGGGTGCCCCGCCCTCTCGGGACTGTCCCCGCAGGCTCTGGAGCTGTCATCCCAGGGCCTCTCCCCCACCCCCCACCCCCCAGGCCCCTGCCTTGGTCCCTCTCCCCTCCCCACAGCAGCCAAGAGCAGCTTTATGAAACAGGAACCTGCCTGCCGCTCGCGCTGTCCTCTCCTTAGACAGAGCTCTGCGGGGTTCTGCCCAGGGAGCAGGCTCTCGGGAGTGCCGTCCCCCCCTCAGAGCAGTCGCCCTATGGCAGACTTGACTTCCTTCAAGGAGCCGTGGGCTTTCTGCAGGGAATGCTGGCAGGCCCTAGAAGCTTCTCTGGGCTGCTTCTTACTAAACCAGTTCCCTGCAAAGCCCTTTTTGCTGCTCAAGCTGGGTCACAGGCACCCCTTGTGGAGTGCCCAGGCCTCTGTGCGTCGTCCGTCAGGGCTGACTGTTCCGGGTTGTCACCACCAGGGCCTGGGCCGTCTCCCACCCCTGGACTGTGAGATCCACGAGTGCAGGACTTAGGGCTGTCCCCACTGGGCTCTCAGCACGGGGCTGTGCACGGAACAGGGACTTGGTTCACTGTTACTGAGCAGATGAAGAAACGCCCAGGAAATCTCACAGGCAGAGAGACACAGAAGGAAGTACTCGGGGCAGAAGCAGAGCCTGGGAGAATCAGAGTCGAGTCCTCTACACTTATCGGGAGCTCTCGGCTCAGGATTTATTGCTCTCTTCCTTGGTGTCTCCTTTCCGGGAACGCCGCCCTCCCCGATGGGCCGGAGTGCTAGTCGTACTGGTGCGAGGGGTAGGCAGTGTGCCCGTCGTACTCGTCCGTGGTCAGACAGCGCAGCATGAAATGGCCCAGGTCGTGTTTGGAGATGACCCTGGAGGTCCCCCGTCCATCCGTTGTCACCGAGTAGGCCCCGGTGAGCGGCTGACTGCCTGGGAGGGAAAAGCAGAGGGTCTGGGTGAAACACAGGTCCTCTCCCATCTTCTAACACGCGGTGCAGCCCTACTGTGCGCCCAGCACCGGGGGTGTGACCATCAGGAGTGGACCGCGCGTGTGCAGGCGCTCATCCATACCCACAGCCTCGTTCACCCCGCAGAGAAGTAGCCCGGCGCTCAGGACGCTGCCGTTCCACTGGAGAACACAAGAAGTGTGGTAAGAGAGGAAAACGGAAGGTATGTTAGAGCGGAGGCCGGGCCGGAGCCCGCAGTGAACCTGCTGTAGAAATGGACAATCGGAGTCAGACACAAAGTCAGACCTCGGTGGCGGAGGGCCGCTTCCCCGGCAGAGCCCAGATGCGCCTGCCGTGTCCAGGCAGTGGGAGAGCCTGAGCAGCCCGCGTGTCCCAGCCTCAGGAGGACCGCTGGCTCCACCTTCGTGGGGAGAGCAGACAGACACAACGTGGCTGTTGAGAGACGGCCGCTCAGGACTGTGCTAATTAAAACCAGTATCTGCCAGTGACCAACGACACTTGGGGATCAAACCTCCTGCCGGCCCTGCAGGGATGGCTGGGCTCGAGTGCAGAGCCCACTCTGGGCAGCTCTGCCCGTCATGCTCAGGCTGAAGCTGTGAGAAAACCACCGGAAAGGCCCAGAAGGTGGGACACGGAAGGACACAGCTTGGGGACTGCACACTGGAGGGGACCTGGCGGCTGAGAGATCTGCCATCGTGAGTGGGCTCCGCCCGCGGGCAGAGGTAGGTGGAGGGTACTTGTTGGGCAAATCTGATTAGACTCTGGATACTAAATGACACAATAGCCTTCCCTTAGTTGTAACTAGGTAATTTTTTTAAATGATTTATTTTATCCATTGGAAAGGCAGAGAGAAAGAGAGAAGGAGAGAGAGGCAGATCTTCCATCCATTGGTTTAGCCCCCAAAAGGCCCAGGGCTGAGCCAGGCTGAAATCAGGAGCCAGGAACTCCATCGGGGTCTCCCATGTGGGTGACAGAGGCCCAAGCACTTGGGCCATCTTCCGCTGCCTTCCCAGGCACCTAAGCAGGTGCTGGATCTGAATAGGAGCAGCCAGGGCTCAAACCGGCACTCTGATATGGGGTGCCGGTGTCGCAGGTAGCGGCTTAACTGGGTGCGCCACAACAGTGGTCCCTGTGGTAATGGTTTTTTGTAAGCATCTTTCTTCTTGGGCGATGCCTGTCAGGAGTAAAGTGTGGCAATGTCTGCAACTTAAACGATAAAGCAAAAAAGAAAATACCAGAAACAACCAACCAACCAACCAACCAACCAAATATGTATGTTCGTGCAGGCAGTTGGCCTCGTGGCTGATGCTGGTTAAGAAGCCTGAGGCCCACATCTGAGTGCCTGGGTTCGAGCCCCAGCTCCAGTTCTGGACCCCAGCTCCCCACCAATGCAGTTCCCCTGGGAGGAGTGGTGATGGCTCATGTGGTTGGGTGCCTGCCACCTTCATGGGAGCCCTGGATTGGGTCACTGACTCCTGGCTCCAGGCCTGGATGTGGGAGGCATCTGGGCACTAGTAAACAGGAGCTCTCTGTCTGTCTCTTCCTAAGTCTCAGATTTCCATAAAAATTATGTGTATATATGGAGAGAGCGAGAATAGGGTAAAATGCTAACCACTGAAGCCAGACAAACCTCAGCATTTCTGGAGGTTTCAAAGTATTTACACACACAGACATGCGAAACAAACAAACAAACAAAGGGAAATCCTAAGTAATTTCGGCCATGATATCTTGAGTCACTGCACACCCCTGTTTACAGTGAGGGAAGCGAGGCCCCCATGGGGCTGGGATTTCCCTCCAGCTTCTCCATCACACAGCTTTGCTGCTGGCTCTTGTCGGAAAGCCCCCTTCCCCGAGCCTTAGCAACGGACCCCATTTGAGCCCCTACAGTGTGGGCCTCCTTCTGCCAGTGGTCCCAGCAGACAGAGAGCTCCTCTTCCAGTCCTCCCTGCCTCCAAAAATCACTCGGACTTGTTCCCTCTGCAAGGGGCCATCCCCTACAGAGCTTACGTGTCTCCAAGTCTGCTCTGTTGTCCCTCCTGGCTTATAACGACCGACCACCAGGCGCACGACCCCTAACACAACAGATGTGGCCTGAATGAATGACTCCCTCCCTGTGGCTGAAACCCCTATGTCTCTCAGTATACAGCCCAGTCCCGGGAGGGGAAATGAGATTCCTCCTACAGCACCACCCCCAGGTGGGTTCCCCGTACGGGTTCACCGACAAGCATTTATCGAGCACCTGCTGCATGCTAGACCCTGTTCTGGGGACCAGGAAGACGGAAGCTGTGCCTCGAAGTGGTGAGGGAGACACACTAAAGGTGAACGGAACAGCTGCTGTGTGTGCTGAAGTTCAAGTCCCGACTCCTTGCACAGGGGCCGGCCCTAGTGACTCCCTTCTGCTCAAAGATGGCAGTAGAGGTGGCATGGAGTGGCTTCCGACTCTAGAACACGGAAGACAATCTAGTGGGTCAGGCGTTTGGCAAAGAGGTTAAGTCGCCACTTGGGACGCCTGCGTCCGGGGTCGGATCACCTGGTCTGAGTCCTGGCTCCTCCGCTTCCAATCCAGGTTCCTGCTACTATGCACTCTGGGAAGCCGATGACGGCTCAAGTGCTTGTGTCCCTGCCACCCTCGTGGGAGACCTGGATTGAGCTCTGAGCTCCTGGCTTCAGCCGGGCCCAGCCCTGGCTATTATGGGGAGTACATCAGCAGACAGAGGAAGAGGCTACCATAACAATGATGGCTGCTGGGTTACACGTTGGCGGTGCTGGGAGACCAGAATGTCAGGACAGAGACCCAATGGAGCAAGGAGGACAGGGTGGGGGAGGGCCTCGCGGACGCTGGCAGAGGCTGGCGGTGGCGGGGCCGCCGGTCTCCACCCCACTCACCGATGTGTGGTGGCATCACCGCCACGTACTTCAGCCCAGACTCCTGCAGCACCTTGTGCATCCGGATGTGGTCATCGGTCACGTCCTGCAGTCTTGGAGGCACCTTGGCCGGGTCCCACAGCAGGAAGGCTGTGGAGGGGGGGCACACAGGGCAGGGTCAGCCTGGGCTCTCTTCTCTCGGTACCAGGACAAAACCCTGCAAGGGCTCACTTCTGCTTTCCCGTTGCAAACCACAGCAGCCGTCTCGGCCTCCTCCGTCTGTCTCCCGGAGGAGCCGGCCACAGCCGTCTCGGCCTCCTCCATCTGTCTCACGGAGGAGCTGGCCGCAAAACACAGGCATCCCAAGTCTGAGCTCTTCTCACTCGGCCTGGTCCTGTCCGCTGGGACTTCTTGCTTGGGCCAGCACAGCTGCCCCCTCCCTGGTCTCCATGCCCTGCCCCCCACACAGCCAAAGGGGGTCACGGCTGCCCGTCTGCACTCTGACATCGCCCACCACTGCCTTAGCAACTGCTGATCCCTCTGCCTCCAGTGCAGTTCCCTCAGGCCCACAGGGCTCCCTCCTTGCAGACTCTGCTCAAAGGTCACCTTTCAGGGAGGCTCCCCCTCTCATTTAAAATTGCAAATGACCCCTTCCCCCAGCAGGCAGCCCCACACCCCACCCCCTTCTCCTGCTGCCGCCCCAGCAAGTCACCTGTGGGTTTGTTTCCTATCTCCCTCCCCTCAGCAGGAGGTCAACCCTGCAGGGCAGGGACCTTGCCTATAGTGTTCAGGGCTCCATTCCCAGAAAGGCCCAGAACACAGCAGGCTCTGCTTAGCATACACCAAGCTGTAACACAGGCTGTCACTCACACTCACCTGTCCCAGAGCTAGACTAAATGTCGGGGAGCCCCATCTACCCCGGGCCAGTCACCCAGGGTGAGCGAACTTGCCAGTTGGTGTGACTGATGATCTCACTGATTCACAGGGACCATGCAGAGGGAGAACTGAGGCTCCGAGGCTCAGTGTAAAGCTGGGGCCCAAGGCTACACAGCAAGGGCCCTGGGCCCATCACACAGCCTCCCTTCTGTAACCTTAACTCTAGTCTGTGTCTTACCTTGAGCTTCTTTTCTCAATTGTTTTTAAAGATTTATTTATTTATTTATTTGAAAGGCAGAGTGATCTTGCAACCACTGGTTCACTCCCCAAATGCCTGCAAGGGCAGAGCCAGGGCCGGGCCAGGCAGAAGCAGGAGCCCAGAACTCCATCCAGGTCTCAAATGTGGAGGGGCCCATGTAATAATACACTGCCTTCTGGGCACATTAGCAGGGAGCTGGATCCGAACCCAGGCACTTTGATACAGGATGCAGGAGTCCCGAGTGGTGGCTGAAAACCCACTGCACCATAACACTCTCCCACCCAGATGCTGCTGTTTTTTAGTTATTTATTTGAAAAGCAGAGTGACAGAGACCTTGCTTTTGCTGGTTCATTCCCCAAATGGCCAGGGCTGGTCTAGGCCGAAACCAGGAGCCCAGAACTCTATCTGGGTCTCCCACGTGGGAGCAGGGGCCCTAGCACTTGGGCCGTCTTCCACTGCTTTCCCAGGTGCATTAGCAGGAAGCTGGATGGAAAGCGAACCGGGGCTTGAAGCTGATGCCGGTGTCACAGCAGCGGCTTACCCTGCTGGGCAACACCTGCCCGCCCGGGTTTCTTTCTAATCCTCTGAGCCGCCTCTAGGATCCGGTCCTCCCCAAGTCCTCATGGATAGACTCCAAGCTCCTTAGGATCCTTCTACTCCTTTCCTTGAAGCTTGAACGTGGAGGGAAATTCAACTCAAGAGAGGGGAGAACAGGACTGGTGTCCGCGTGTCAGGTGTGACGACACGTGTGGTTCCAGGCACAGATGCCCTTTTCTGCCTCAGGAGTGGCCCCTGGTGTCCCTGGGTCTGCAACTCCATCTCACGTGGTTTAGGAAAACAGCGCCACCACGTGTGTGCACGCAGACAGGCTGGTTCTGATAGAGTTAACAGAGCTCACACGGGGACTCTTGCGTGTGGCAGGAACACGGTGCTCACGGTACTGGTCTTGCGACTTTCCTGTCTGAGATGTTTCATAATTTTGAAATCACTTCTAAATAAAAGTTAAAAATTAAAACGAGGCACGGACGTTTGGTGCAGGGGTTAAATCACTGCTTGTGGTGCCTGCATCCCATATCAGAGTGCCTGGGTTCAAGTCCTGGCTTGGCTTCGGATCCCAGCTTCTTGCTAATGCACTCTGAGAGCCAGCAGGTGATGGCCGCAGTCCTTGGATTCCTGCCAGCCACTTAGAGGCCCGGATGGAATTCCAGGCTCCTGGCTTTGGTGGGGTCCAGCCTTTGCTGTTGCAGGAATTTAGGGAGTGAATCACAGGTTGCACATTCTGTCTGTCTCTCTGCCTTTCAAAGGATTTTTTTTAAAAAAGATTTATTTATTTGAAAGAGTTACAGAGAGAGAGAGAGAGAGAGAGAGAGAGAGAGAGAGATTGATCTCCTGTCCACTGGTTCTCTCCCCAAATAGATGGAACGGCTAGAACTGGGAGCCAGGAGCTTCCTCAGGGTCTCTCATGTGGGTGTAGGGGCCCAAGGACTTGGGCCATCTTCCACTGCTTTCCCAGGCCACAGCAGAGAGCTGGATAGGAAGAGGAGCAGCCGGGACTTGAACTGGTGCCCACATGGGATGCCAGTGCCATAGGCAGCAGCTTTACCTGCTCTGTCCCAAGGATTTTTTTTTTTTTAAGTAAAAGGGGGGAAAAAGGCAATAAATCCTGGCACACTAATACTTTTCAAAAATCCAAGCAAAATATTTTCAGAAATTAAGTCAATTTTCCAGTTTCTTCCATGAAAGCAAAGCCTAATTTAAAACACTTAAATTGATCTTCAAGACAGGATAGAGGGGCCGGCGCTGTGGCATAGCAGGTTAACGCCCTGGTCTGAAGCACCGGCATCACATATAGGTACTGGTTCTAGTCCCGGCTGCTCCTCTTCCAATCCAGCTGTCTGCTATGGCCTGGGAAAGCAGTAGAAGATGGCCTGGGTGCTTGGGCCCCTGCACCCATGTGGGAGACCCAGAAGAAGCTCCTGACTCCTGTCTTCGGATTGGTGTAGCTCTGGCCATTGTGGCCATCTGGGGAGTGAACCAGCGGATGGAAGACCTCTCTCTCCCTCTGCTTCTCTTCTCTCTGTGTAACCCTGACTTTCAAATAAATAAATAAATAAATAAAAGATACCCCCCCCCAAAAAAAAGGGTAGAAAAAGGAAAATGAAGAGCTACTCTAAAACTGTAGCTTATTACTTTTCCATTTCAAAGCTTGGGGAACAAAGGACCATAAACAACTTTCCTTCCTGTCCCTGGCCAGGTCCAGCCCCTGGGCCTCGGTGCCCCTGCCCTTTCCCACTTCCAAGACACAGAGGCAGGGTGTGAACCTGGGGGAGACGGACAGCCAGGTGCACTGCCAGCACTGAGCCACAGCAGGGAGACAACCCCAGCCAGTATTCCCTGAGCACCTACTGTGTGCCATGTTGAGCGCAAGCACTCAGAGGAGTTTTGTAAGGCTGACGTGGCCTTTATCCCCAGGGTGCTCAGATACCACCCAGCACACAGCAGGTGCTTACTCAATGCTGTTAGCATTAACTGCACCCGTTGGGCACCCTGTAGCCTTCCTTTTGAGTTGCTCAGGAGAGCTCCTTGTTTAATGTCCCCCTGCCCATAGTTGGCACCTCTTGAGTGCCAACCTGCCACATACCCACGACTCTGGCACTTGCCCTGCCAGGCTCCCACAGGCCTCCTCAGCTTCTTGCATCCCACACCCCGCCCTGATTATTTGGAAGGTCAGTGTAACCATGGCCCTGTTACCCCTCTCTTACAGGGTCCTGGGCTGTACTGGTCACTGCTTTGTCCTCAGCAAGATTTGATAATACATGGTGACCTTGATGGCTTCAGTGCTACTTGTCCCAGGGCCCTGGGCTGTCCATCCTGTTCCCACCCAGTGGTTCAGCCCCCACACCGTGACCCCACCACCCACCCGATGTGCAGGCCACGACCTTGTCCACGCCGTGAGCCTTCATGGCTGCTACAATGTTCCGGGTGCCCTCGGACATCACAGTGGTGGGACCTTAGAGGGGACAGAGAGTGGCTGTCACCGGTGGGCGGAGGTGGAGGTGGCGGCAGGGGTGGCAGAGGGGGGGCCGGGGGTGGGGGTGGTGCCGCAGGTCGAGGTGTAGGGAGGGGCCGTGGGCAGAGGGGAGGCTCAGTACTGAGGTCATTGCCAGTGCCCAGCAGCACAATGACAGCATCCTGGCCGGCCACGGTCTTGTCCACGTCGGCTGCCTGCAGGACGTCACCCACCACCACATGGGCTGGCTTGGGCCCCTCCTTCGGCAGCCTGGAGGGGTCGCGCACCAGCACAGTGACTTCGTAACCTGTGGGCAGAGAGGGTGGGAGAGGGTGGTCAGTGGGATGGTGGGATGGGTTTCAGGGGCTGCTCCCCGAGGGCACTGTGAACCCCAAAGGCGTTCCCCGGGTCCTCTGTCCTGGGTCAGTGGACTTCAAACATTTTTGCTGGTAAAATTACAGTAGATGTTAAAATAGGACAATGCACGTGGACACACAAATTGCCTTCCCCTCCCTCCAGCAACCAATGGGTTAATGTTTGCTGCCCATGGGCTGTGCCCCCAACCCCACCCATGGTCAAGGAAACAGGTGCAGAGGAGGATATGAGTTGCCCAAAGATTGGCCAGCTCTGGGATTGGTCTCAGATGCTGTCCTGGTCCAGCCCTCTGGTGGTGATTCCCTCCCTCAGTGGTCACCAAAGATTTTAGTGTAACCTCCCTAGGTCCCCTCCCAAGGGCACTTTGAGTACCTCTGTCTCCTCAAATGTACACACAGAGCCAGCCACACACACACACACACACACACACACACAGCCACACAGGGGAGGAGGGGTGTTCCTGTGTGGTTGTTTTGCAATGGTGACATTTGCAAAACAAAGCCAATAATGGTGGTCTGCAGAGAGCTGACCTTTGTCCCCTCCCAGATTCACCCACTGAAGCCCTCACCCCCAGGGCCGCCACCTGGAGGGAGGGGCCTGGTTTCAACAGGTTCTAAGGGTGGGGCCCGTGATGGGATTAGCAACTTTTGAGAGAGTAAGAATAGAGAGCAGGAGGCAAGCTATCGTGATCCCGTGAGGACACAGCGCAAGGCTGCCCCTGTAACCTGGGAAGAGACCACGTCTGGCAGCCCCTTGGCCTTGCACTTCCCAGCCTCTGCTGCTGGGGCGGCTCAGTGACAGCAGCCAGCCTGACTGAGACATCGCTCAAGATCACTCTCTTCCCTGGGGAAATGGCTGACCGACCGCCAGGCCAGGGCGCAGCCGGGGCTGCAGCACCCGGTATGGCCAGCGGGGGGCAGTGCCTGCAGAGTGGTGGGTTCCCTTGAAAGGACACAGCAACCCCCTAAGGGCCCCCACCAGGCTAATCGCCAACGGTCAGAGCCCCCAAAAGAAGAGTCCTACCTATCAGGAGGTGTGAGCGCATGATACAGCTGTGACAGCTGTGATACAGCTGGGCTCAGGAAAGCGTCAGGGAAGAGGAACAAGAACAGGATTCTTCCAGTTCTCTGATGGCTGCCATCAGCTACTTCAACGTAAACAGAGGAAGGGAGATTTCCAGCTGTGGGGCAGTGACACTGATAATAACGAGAAGTGACAATACGTAATCTCTTGGGGACAGGGTTGTGGCATAAGGGGTGAAGCCACTGCCCTATGGGTCCTGGTTCCTGTTCCTGCTGCTCCACTTCTGATTCAGCTCCCTGCTAATGGCGTGGGAAAAGCCTCTGCCACCCACGTGGGAGACCCAGATGAAGCTCCTGGCTTTAGCCTGGCCTAACGCTGGCTGCTGCAGCCATCTAGGGTGTGAACCAGCGGATGGAGAGCTCTCTCTCTCTCTCTCTCTCTCTGCCTCTCTGTAACTCTTTCAAATACATAAATAAAATCTTAAAAATAAGATAAAAGCACCTCACTGGGGCTGGCACTGTGGCATAGTGGGTGAAGCCACTGCCTACAGTGCCAGCATCCCATATGAGCACCGGTTTGAGTCCCGGCTGCTCCACTTCCGATCCAGCTCTCTGCTATGGCCTGGGAAAGCAGTGGAAGATGGCCCAAGTCCTTGGGAGACCTGGAAGTAGTTCTTGGCATTGTGTCAGCCCAGCTCCCAGCCATCGCAGCCATCTGGGGAGTGAGCCAGCCACCTCTCTTTCTCTTCCTCTGCATCTCTGTAACTTTGCCTTTCAAATTAAAAAAAAAAAAAAAAGCAACAGCACCTCACTAAGTAATCTGTACAGAGTGCTCACTTGAGCCAGCTGCTGAGTGCTGTGCACACATCGGCTCACTTAACACTCAACACAACCTGGGGTGGAGCCCCAGCCCCGCCCACCGACCCTGGGCAGGTCACTAAAGCTCTCTGGGTCACGGGGTCTTTATTTGTAAAGTGACAGTAGGGCCTGGCGTTGTGGCGCAGTGGGTTAAGCCTCCACTTGCAACACCAGCATCCCATATCCCATACCCACATCCCAGCGCTGGTTTGAGTCCTCGCTGTTCCGCCTCTGATCCAGCTCTCTGGGAATGCACCTGGGAAAGCAGTGGATGATGGGTCGACTCCTTGGGCCCTGCCATCCCCCCAGAGACCTGGATGGAGCTGCAGACAGTTGAGGAATGAAGCAGCAGATGGAAGATCTCTTCTGCTTTTCAAATAAATAAGATAAATCTTTTTTTAAAAAAGGAAAATCATATTTAAATGCGAGATTCCATTTTTTTTTTTTTTTTTTTGACAGGCAGAGTGGATAGTGAGAGAGAGACAGAGAGAAAGGTCTTCCTTTGCCGTTGGTTCACCCTCCAATGGCCGCCACGGCTAGCGCGCTGCGGCCGGTGCACCGCACTGATCCGATGTCAGGAACCAGGTACTTATCCTGGTCTCCCATGGGGTGCAGGGCCCAAGGACTTGGGCCATCCTCCACTGCACTCCCGGGCCACAGCAGAGAGCTGGCCTGGAAGATGGGCAACCGGGACAGAATCCAGTGCCCCGACCGGGACTAGAACCCGGTGTGCCGGCGCCGCAAGGCGGAGGATTAGCCTAGTGAGCCGCGGCGCCGGCCGAGATTCCATTTTTAAAGAGAAGAAAACATAAGCCTAAATCTTAGTGACTTCAGAATAGGCAGTGGTGTCTGAGCCATGACACCCAAAGTAACAGCAGCAGTAAGAGGAGACACTTGGAACATCAGCACAATGAAAAACCTCCCACTCCTGAGGAACCTGTTCAGGACGGGAGGGAAACTCTGTAAGTCATCGTGTCTGGCATGTAGAAAAGACAACCTGTTAGGCAGGAAGTGGGAGATGGGCCTATGTGCGTGGGAGGGGCCCACGGTAAAGAAAGCACCTGTGGGAAGTGACTTAGCGGCCTGGAAACAGCCCGGAATTTTCCGCTACAAAGTCCTGCCACACCTCAAGAACTTTAGAGGTGGTCCCTGCCTTACCCCCAAGGAAAGAACCCCAGGAGAATCCTCTCTGCTCAGCACCAAGAATCCTGCTCTGTCCCGTGACATCGGGTGAGAAAACCCCCACGGCTTCGCTCTCAGGACAGCCTCGGTGCCTCCCCAGCACTGAGTAGTGAGACCCTGGGAGAAACCTGCCAGCTGCACACCCTGCAAGCTTTTTGTCCATGAGAACAGGGAGGAGGGCGAGGAGAATGCGGAGGGAAGAACCCGGCCCTACTCCCTTGTAAGCCCCGGTGCGAACAGACTGCTCCGGTCACTCCCTCGGATGCCCGCCTGGTCTGGGCTAATGCGCTCGCCACGACTCCCGGGCTCACTCTGAACCCTTTCTTGTTCAACGACAGGAACCTCTGTTCCACACATAGATCTGAACGGACATCTCTCCCAAGGAGCTGCACAAGTGGCCAGCAGCCATCAGGGAAATGCAAAGCGGCACAGAGCCCAGTGGGAGTGGGAGTGGGAGTGCCCCGGCGAGGAGGCTGGAACCCTCACGGCTGGCTCAGGGCAGTGCTGAATGCAGACAGCCTGTGGCAGCTCCACGGATTAAACACAGCCACCCTGTGACCCAGCAATCACAGTCCTCCACAAAGGCCCAAGAGGAAGGAAGCCATTTTCACACAAAAACGCGCACACCCTTCGTAACTGCCAAATACTATCAGCTGATGCATGGGCACAGACTGCGTGCGACAGATGGACAATGCAGTAGTAGCTGGCACTGAGAAAAAGCTGCTTACTGATACATGTTAGCACATGCTTACTGATACATGTTAGCACATGCCTGAACCTCCAGAGCATGGCTTTTGCTGAACTGAAGAACCCAGTCACGTGGTTACTTCCATATTCCTGTCCAGAACAGGCAAAGCCATACAAACAGGAAGTAGATGAGTGGCTGCCCAGGCCTGGGGGAGGGGATGGATAACAAAACAGGGTGTGTGTGGGGGCGATGACTTCTAGGTTTCTTTTTTTTTTTTTTTTTAGGTTTATTTATTCTTAAAAGATTTATTTATTTATGTATTTGAAAGGCAGAATGACAGAGGTAGAGGGAGAGGGAGAAAGAGAGATCTTCCATCTGCTGGTTCACTCACCAAATGGCTGCAGCAGCCAGGGCAGTGCTGGGCAGAAGCCAGGAACTCCATCCTGGTCTTCTACATGGATGGCAGAGACTCAAGCACTTGGGCCATCCTCTGCTGCCTTCCCAGGTGCATTAGTAGGGAGCTGGATTGCAAGTGGAGGGCCGGGACTGCTACAGTTAAGTTATAGTGGACATGCCCCTTTTGAGGTTTTTCTTAACCCTCAATACAAAACAGATTTCACAGCCTGGCCCAGTGCACACAAACCCACACATACAGACTTGAAACAAATGTTTCATAAAACCAATAGTTAACAGGTGATACCGGCTGATACTGTGACTTAGCCCTGTAACCCAGTTTGGGAAGCACCCTACTGGAACAACTCTACAGGGTGTTATCATGCCCATTCTGAGGACGGGAGAACCTAGGCGATGCTAGGTAACGGAGCCCGGATCACACGGCCAGTAAGTAGAATCTGATCCAGGGCCCACAGAATTCAATGCAAGGAGTGTTTACCGAGCACCAACTACATGCGGTCAGCACCTCCCATCCATTATCTACTTTAATCATCACAGGAGCCCAGGGCAAGCGCTAGTAATTTCATCCCTGTCTTGCATGTATCTGAGACACAGACACTTGGCCACACAGGTGGGAAACTCCTTGGATGTGGGCAGCCGGTTGTCGGAGCCCAGGCCTGTCAGGACCCTTGGTCCTTATAAATCCATCCAGGGGCACGAAGGCTCCGTTCATCCAAGCTCCTCCTCTTTCGGGCGGTGGGGACCGCTCCGGGCCACAGTGAAGAAGCCTCCCCTAGGCTGCAGCTCCCAGCCCTCAGGTGCAGTCCCAGCCCTCACCAGCAGGGGGGCAGGGGCAAGTCAGAAATGTGGGATTACAGGAAAACTGCTAAAAAGGAAAGTTTGATCCTCACCATGACTCAGCATTTCTCAACTTCTCCCTACTTCTTCCTTCTTCACCCTCCCCCAGAAATACTGACCAGGCACGTCCACAGCTCCCCCCGTTCTGGGGGAGAGGCAGCCAGGGTCTTGGCTAGTGGGGGAAGGGCGAACGGTGGGGCCTCAGGAGGAGATTTCAGGGGTAGCCCCTCCAAAGGCAAGCTGTGTTGGGATACGGGAGAGAGTGGCTCCGCGGTGGCCTCCACCCTTTTGGGGCACCCAGATAGCCTGTATCACACAGAGTCAACAAGGCCAGCAGGGGTGCGGCCCGTATCTGGAGTGCCCAGGTCCCCGCCAGGGTAACCTCTGGACAGTGGCGGCAGAGGGTGTGGGGCACAGCTACCCTCTCTCCTGCTCACCCTGCTCCTGGTCAGCCGCGCTGGCTTTCCCGAGTGCCAGGTTTTGCTCTGGTGCCCAGGCCGGGAGCTGGTAGATCTCTTCCGTGGTTCAGAGCACCAGCTGGATTCAAATCCCAGCTCTGCCACTTACCAGATGTGTGAAATTGGGGAAGTCACTTTCTGGGCCTCAGTTTTCTCATCTGTCAAGTGGGGTAATAGCTACTAGTTCCCACCCCTCAGGAGGCCCTCAAGGATTTAGACTTAGAGAAAGCAGTGCTAGGCAGCAAGCTGGGGCGCAAAGAACTCGCACCCGCCGCACCTGCACCCGCATCCGCAGCACCGCAGTTTCCAAGAGCCTCGATTTACTTACTGGGCTCCTGGAGGCTCCCAGGTGCCTACGGGCAGTTCTTTTGCCACGGACTCACAGGAGATTGGGGCTCCCGGTGGCCACCTGCTCTGCGCCCGGAATCCCCCCACACCTGACTGGGACAAGCCTGGCCCCAAGCCGCCTCCCGGCTGAGCCCACCGGCCTCCCCTTTCCCGCGTGTCCAGGACGCCCCCAACCCGCCCCGGTTCATGCCTGCTTGCACCGCCTGCGCCAGGGTGGTTTGCCCGGTGTTGCCGGTGGCGCCGAAGATCGCGATCTTCTTGACGGCCATGCTATGGGGTCGCGAGCGTGCGAGGCCTCAGAGTCTCAGGACGCGCGGGAACCCACAGGCTCCGGGGCGGCGTTCTCCGTCCTTTAGCCAGGAGCACTGGGCGGAGCCTGGGTCCGACGGCGCCGCTTCAGCCCCGCCTCGGACAAGGCCCCGCCCACTGCTCAGGCCCTGTGGGCGGGGTCTCCCTGGCCCCTCCCCGTGCTGGGAAGAACCTGAGTAGGCAGAACAGGAATCAGCTCTCCACGCACCACTTAGGCTCGGGGGCGGGACCCTGCAGGTCACGCCCCACCCGGGAAGGGAGCGAGTGGGCGGGGCCCCGAGCGTGCGTCAAGCTGAGGCCCCGCCCCCGCGCTCCTGTGCCCGGGGAGGGCCCGGCGCGGCGAGCCACGCCCACAGCCTCCGCAACCTGTCCTCCCTCACACCCCTGTCCCAGTGCCCCGCGGCGGCTGCGGGGCTCCGCGCCCACCCCAGGGCCTTCTCCTACCCGCGAGGAGGCAAAGTGTGCGTGCGTGTGACACCGTGCGGGTCTGTGTACCCGTGCGGCCAACAGCGACTCTCCGCAGCCGCAGAGAGACCCTGACAGCGGAAGACGCCCCGCGCCGTCCCGTGCGTGTGGCCCCGCGTGTGGCCGGCGCCGCTGCCGCCCACTTGTGACCTTGAGGTGGCCCCGTGGGTGCCCGCTTGCGTGACATGGGGTTGACAGGGGCCCTGCGAGGTGTGCGTTAGCGGACAGGGTGGCTACTCCACGGCGCCCGCGTGTGCGGGGAGCGTCTCTGACGCCGGGGCTGCGTTTGCCCGCGTGGCTGTGCGCGTGGCCGTGGAGGATGTGTGACCCCGGGCGAGCAGGGAAAGCCGTGACACGTGCGTGATCGTGTGTGACGCCGTGCGGGTGCTGGCCCCTCCTCAGCGTGACGCGGTGCGTGGTACCGGGACCCCGCCAGACGCCCCCCCCCCGTCCGCTGAGGGACGCCGCGGGTGGGTGCTGGGCGCGTGGGCGGCGCTGCGCGCGACCCCGGGGGCGGCGGTGACGCCACCGCAGCGGATCGCGGGCGCCGCTGTGCACCACGCGCCGCGGCCCGTGTGTGGCGGCGCGAGGGTCCCGGGGGCGCGCGGGCGCGGCGGCCGCGCGAGCTGAGGGGAGGCGCGGCGGCGTCTGCGGCACATGCGGGGCCGGCCGCCCGGCGGGGCCGAGCGGAGCCGGGCCGGGCCGGGCCGGGCCGCGGACGCCCACAGGCGGGGCTGTCGGGCGCGGCGAGCAGCGGGGACAGCGGCCCCGGCGGCCGCGGGCCCAGGTGAGCGGCGTTGCGGCCCGGAGCCCCTCCCCCGCGTCTCCCCACCTGCCTGAGCACCCTTCTCCCCCACCGCGCGCCGTGGCCACTGCCGGACCCCCGGGGTCGTCCCCGGCCAGAGGCAGATGGGGAGGTCGAGGACCGAACGAACCCCAGCCCCCAACCCAGGCCAGCCTTGGCGTGGAGCGCGGGTCCTGCCCGCAGGCCTTGTCCTTGCCGGCCGCCTCCCTGGGCTCGGGGAGTGGAGGCGCGGCCGGGGAAGGGTTAACACTTCGGCTCCCACCCGCAGCCCCGGCGTGGCTGGTGCGGGCAGGACACGGCTTCCCAGCTCCCCGCCGCCCCGTCTTCCCTCTCCATTCGATCCGGTAATGGCAGGGCTGCTCCTGGCCTGATGGAGCTCACCAAGGGCTAAGCGCCAGCCCATCCCCGCGTATCCTCCGTGTGGGAAACAGTTGGCATCGCCTTTAGCAGGGAAGGAAACTGAGGCACGCGGGACCCAAGTCAAAGCTCCTGAGTTGAAGATGCAGCAAGGATAAGGCAGGACTGGAACTCATCCCCCCCCCCCCCCCCCCAGGCCGGAGCAGGCTCGTTGATTTGCTAGGACCCCTGCCCTGGGGCTGGAGGCTGAGAGCTGGAGAGAAGCGGAGAGCTCGCTGTGTACCAGACGCCACGTTCCCTACGTGCCTAACTCCCTTCCAAGGCCCCTAGGAAGAGGGTACTGTGGTCATTGCCATTCTGCTGAGGACCAGGCCATGGCCCAGAGAGGGGAAGAGACTTGGCCAAGGTCACACAGCTGTATGCCTGTCTCGGCCTTTCCAAAGAAAGGGAGGTTTTCCTAGGTCTGCCTGAAGGGCCAGCCCCCGCTGCACTGTCCAGTGCCCCGGACTGCGTGCTCTGAGGCTCGCACGTGGACACCTGCAGGGTCTTCTGGGAAGGGGGCCTTGGCCTGCAGGTGCCCTCCGTTCTCCGTCTTAGAGTCAGGTCTGGGGCCCGGGAAGGTGGAGGCGATGGTGTGCTGCTTAGGGCCCAGCGGGCTCTGCAGCCTCGCAGTGTGTTGGTCAGCTGTTTCCCCAGTACTGCTGCGTAACAAACCACCCCAGAACTCGGAGCTCTGGGTGTGGCCGGCCTGGTCTGTGCTGAGCTCACTCACAGTCGGGATCATAGGGGCGTCCCTGGCTGGCCCTGGCAGGAATGACAGGGGCCTGGGATCTGATCTGGCCCTGACGTGTTTTTCTTGTGATCCTAGAGCACAAGCAGAAACTCGCAAGGTCCCTGGAGTCCCGGGCTGAGGACAGGCGCGCCAGCATCTCTGCCTAATTCCGTTCACTAAAGCAGGTCCCGTGGCAAGCCAGGAGTCGAGGGGTGTGGCATGTCTGTCATCCCCAAAGGTGCACCTTGTGTACCCTAGCAGCTGGAAACACCGAAGAGAATTTCAAATAATAATAATAATAATAATAATAACGGCAACAATGACGGTATGCCGAGCCTTTCCACCTGCCAGGCACCGACTTAGATGTTTTCATACAGCCCCGTGAAACAGTCAGGGTGAACGTGCGTTATTATGTCCACTTTAAAGACAGAGAAACTGAGGGCTATCGAGGCGGCAGGACTCACAGCCAGGCACGGTGGGGCCAAAACCCCTGAGCTCAGGCCCTAAGCTGCCTCTCCCCCTCCCCAGGCCTCATCGATCCCAATGGCGCAGGTGCCAGGGGAAGTGGACAACATGGAGGGGCTGCCCGCCTCCAATAACAACAACCCTGCAGCCCGCTGGGACAGCCCGGATCGGGGCTGGGAGCGGGAGCCGCCGGCCGCCTCCACCGCAGCCGCCTCGCTCTTCGAGTGCTCCCGGATCAAGGCCTTGGCAGGTACCTGGGGAGGAGGGGAGGGGGCTGGGGTGGCCTCTGGGGTCTCAGTGTCTATGCACCTTGGTGGCCAGGAGGGTGAGAATACAAACACTTGGCATTGAATCTGTGGCCAGCACTTCCCAGGGGAACTTAATGGAACTTAATGTGATGTCCAGCATAGCAACCCCTAGTACAAGCGTGGGTGGCTATCAAGTACTTAAGCACGGCCAGTGCTGCCCGAGCGACTGCTTTAAATTTTACGTAGTTGTAATTAATTTACATCTAAGTAGCCACATGTGGCTCATGGCTGTCGTATGGGGCAGCACAGCCCTAGAACCTTAGAAACCTCCCTCTCATACACTTGGATACCTGGGATGATGTAACCCCAAACCCGCAGACTTTCAGACCGGAAGTGTGGATTGTGAGAACTCTGAGGAAGAGTGGCCCGGCCTCCCAGGATGTGTACGGAAGCCCCTGGTCTCGGGCCAGAGGGTATGGTGGGTCACCCTGCTTACAGCCATACCAGCGAAGGCCAGAGAATCTCACACTCACAGAATCTTAGGACAACAGACCCTCAGGGTGGCAAGCCCTGGAGCCTAGCTGTTGGATCATTAGCTTGAACCCTGCAGAGTGAAGGCTGGCGCCGCGGCTCACTAGGCTAATCCTCCACCTGAGGCGCCGGCACACCAGGTTCTAGTCCTGGTAGGGGCGCCGGATTCTGTCCCGGTTGCCCCTCTTCCAGGCCAGCTCTCTGCTGTGGCCAGGGAGTGCAGTGGAGGATGGCCCAAGTACTTAGGCCCTGCACCCGCATGGGAGACCAGGAGAAGCACTTGGCTCCTGGCTTTGGATCAGCTCAGTGTCTCTCTCTCTGACTCTCTCTCTCACTGTCCACTCTGCCTGCAAAAAAACAAACAAACAAACAAACAAAACACCTGCAGAGTGATGTAACTTCCTAATCATAAACCCTTAAAACAGGAAACGCCAGGGGTGGGCACTTGGCTCACTGGTTGAGATGCCATTTGGGACATATCCCACATCAGAGTACTGGTATACTTTTTTTTTTTTAAGATTTAATTGCCCCTTTTTTTTTTTTTTTTTTTTTGAAGAATACACAGAGAGACAGAGATAGAGAGATCTTCCATCTGCTGGTTCACTCCCCAGATGGCCACAGAGGTTGGGGCTAGGATGATCGGGGGAAGCCAGGAGCTTCATCTGGGTCTCCCATGTGGATGCAGGGGCCCAAGCACTTGGGCCATCCTCTGCGCTTTCCCGGGCCATTAGCAGGGAGCTGGATCAGAAAGCGGAGCAGCTGGGACTGGAACCAGCACCCATATAGGATGCCAGCCTTGCAGGTAGTGGCTTTACCCACTACACCACAATGCCGGCCCCAGTTCAATTTTTTTTTTTTTTTTTTGACAGGCAGGCAGAGTGGACAGTGAGAGAGAGAGACAGAGAGAAAGGTCTTCCTTTGCCGTTGGTTCACCCGCGCACCACGCTGATCCGATGGCAGGAGCCAGGTACTTATCCTGGTCTCCCATGGGGTGCAGGGCCCAAGGACTTGGGCCTCCACTGTACTCCCTGGCCACAGCAGAGAGCTGGCCTGGAAGAGGGGCAACCGAGACAGAATCCGGCGCCCCAACTGGGACTAAACCTGGTGTGCCGGCGCCGCAAGGCGGAGGATTAGCCTAGTGAGCCGCGGTGCCAGCCTTCCAGTTCAAGTTCTGACTCCAACAGCTGGTACTGGGCAGGTCCAAAGCGAGGAGCCAGGAGCCTCCTCTGGGTCTCTCACATGAGTGCAGGGGCCCACGCACTGGGCCGTCCTCTGCGCTTTCCCAGGTGCAGGGGCCCACGCACTGGGCCGTCCTCTGCGGCTTTCCCAGGTGCAGGGGCCCACGCACTGGGCCGTCCTCTGCGGCTTTCCCAGGTGCAGGGGCCCGCGCACTGGGCCGTCCTCTGCGGCTTTCCCAGGTGCCGGGGCCCACGCACTGGGCCGTCTTCTGCGGCTTTCCAGGTGCAGGGGCCCACGCACTGGGCCGTCTTCTGCGGCTTTCCAGGTGCAGGGGCCCGCGCACTGGGCCGTCCTCTGCGCTTTCCCAGGTGCAGGGGCCCACGCACTGGGCCGTCCTCTGCGGCTTTCCCAGGTGCAGGGGCCCACGCACTGGGCCGTCCTCTGCGGCTTTCCCAGGTGCAGGGGCCCACGCACTGGGCCGTCCTCTGCGGCTTTCCCAGGTGCAGGGGCCCGCGCACTGGGCCGTCCTCTTCGGCTTTCCCAGGTGCCGGGGCCCACGCACTGGGCCATCTTCTGTGGCTTTCCAGGTGCAGGGGCCCACGCACTGGGCTGTCTTCTGCGGCTTTCCCAGGTGCATCAGCAGGGGATGGACTCTGGAGGCCGAGCTGGAGGCTCTGGAGGCACTCAGCAATGTGGGGTGCCGGCACCCCCAGTTCCCACAGGGGAGGGGTTCTGGGACCCTCACCAACTCCAACCTCTGCATGTGCTCAAGTCCCTGCTAAGCAACGGCGTAGCGCTTGTAGGTAGCTCACGCATGTCCTCCTGTGCGCGTTAAATGACCTGTGGGTGACTGTCACACCCAACACGGAGTGACTCCCGTGTGAACTGTGCCTTCACTGTGCTGTCTAGGATGTGACGACCCGGAGAACCCTGCACGTCTTAGGTACAGGCGCGATTTTTCAGTTGTCAAATATGTTTGATCCTCGATTGAATCTGTGGATGAGAAGGGCGGAAGGTAGTGAGGCCCTTGGAAGCTTGTAAGATGTCCGGGGACCAGCTCCAGCCATGGAGATTTATGGGCCCAAGTCACCAGCCCTGGTGGAAGTTTCCAGTTTAAAAAGTTCATGCCGGCCGGCGCCGCGGCTTACTAGGTTAATCCTCCACCTAGCGGCGCCGGCACACCGGGTTCTAGTCCCAGTCAGGGCACCGGATTCTGTCCCGATTGCCCCTCTTCCAGGCCAGCTCTCTGCTGTGGCCCGGGAGTGCAGTGGAGGATGGCCCAGGTCCTTGGGCCCTGCACCCCATGGGAGACCAGGAGAAGCACCTGGCTCCTGCCTTCGGATCAGCGCGATGTGCCGGCCGCAGCGCTCCGGCCACGGCGGCCATTCAGCCCTGAGTTGCCAGCTGGAACCCTGGCTTGATGAAAACAGACCCAGTCCGTCTGGAGTCTCACTGGTCTGCAAAATGCAGGCACGTATCAGCCTGGACTTCTGCGGTTATTATTTCATCCCCAGATATTCAGCATCTTCGCAGGGCCTGGCCTGGGCTGGACAATGAAAGGGACAGCGGTGACTGAGCTGTGCTTGCCCCTGTCCTACCAGGGTGCCTGGTCCAGTGGGAGCCACAGATCCAACCAGACACTGATGTCCTGGAGGGGTCAGAGGTCACAGCTTGTTGGGGAGACACAGGCAGAGAGGGCTGTGATGGGGAAGCCCAGGGGCTATAGGAGCCCCAGAAGGCACCTGATCTAGTTTGGAGAATCAAGGAGGGCTTCCTGGAAGAGGTGAGATGTGAATCTTACAGCCGTGCCTCAGAAAGCATGTAGTCTGGAGAAATGTAGAGGTCCCCTTTAAAGAAAAAAAAATTCTCATCCACTTAAATTATTAGAATTATAGGTTTTTTATTTAAAAATATTTATTTTATTGAAATAATTATATTATTGAAAGAGTAATAGTGACTGAGGGAAAGAGAGAGAGCGAGAGATTTTCCATTGACTGGTTCACTCCCCAAATGGCCACAATGGCCAGAGCCCAGAGTTCCATCTAGGTCTTTTACATGGGTGCAGGGGCCCAAGCATGTGGGCCATTCTCCACTGCTTTTCAGCGGGAACTCGAACCCGTGCTCACAGGGGATGCTGGAGCCACAGGCGATGGCTTGACCTGCTGCACCCCAATGCCGAGCCCCTGCTGTTTGTTTCTTGCTTGCTTAATTTCTTCCTTTCTTCCTTCCTTCCTTCCTTCCTTCCTTCCTTCCTTCCTTCCTTCCTTCCTTCCTTCCTTTCTTTCTTTCTTTCTTCTTCTTCCTCTTCTTTTTTTTTTTTTTAAGATTTATTTATTTATTTGAAACATTACAGAGAGAAAGGGAGAGAGTCTTCCATCTGCTGGTTTACTTCTCAGGTGGCTACAACAGCCAGGGCTGCGTCAGGCCGGAGCCAGGAGCCAGGAGCTTCATTGGGGTCTCCCACATGGGTGCAGGGGCCCACGAACCATCCTCTGCTGCTTTCCCGGGTGCATTAGCAGGGAGCTGGATTGGAAGTGGAGCAGCCGGGACTCGGACCGGCGCCCATATGGGATGCTGGCACTGCAGGCCACTGTGGCCTCATTGGGGATGCCACTGCGCCGGCCAGGGACCGTGGACATCTTCACCCGCATTAGGGCCGAGCCCCCAGCCCTCTGATTCCCGCTGTCACCTCAGTTGCTTCTTCACCACAGCCAGCCAGATAGTTTTAATGTGAATTCTTTCCTTTGCATGTGGGTGATTTTGAAAGGCGTGCGTTGCTGATGTGTGTGTGTGTGTGTGTGTGAGTGAGACTTTTCATTGTTCTAATAATGTAGCACACCCGTACAGAATGGCAATGGTGCTGTGAGTGCCCACTGTTTCCCAGTTTACATGAGAGGACGAAACCCAGACCTAGGAAGAGAATCTAACGGGTGTTGTATGTCAGTAATAAAACACAGGATATAGCCGGCGCCGTGGCTCAATAGGCTAATCCTCCACCTTGCGGCGCCGGCACACCGGGTTCTAGTCCCGGTCTGGGCGCCGGATTCTGTCCCGGTTGCCCCTCTTCCAGGCCAGCTCTCTGCTATGGCCAGGGAGTGCAGTGGAGGATGGCCCAGGTGCTTGGGCCCTGCACCCCATGGGAGACCAGGAAAAGCACCTGGATCCTGGCTCCTGCCATCAGATCAGCGCGGTGCGCCGGCTGCAGCGGCGGCCATTGGAGGGTGAACCAACGGCAAAGGAAGACCTTTCTCTCTCTGTCTCTCTCTCTGTCCACTCTGCCTGTCGAAAAAAA